TAATACCCTCGAAAGGTGGTTCATTTTTTTTTTTGCCCTCGGAAATTCGAAAAAGGCAACCGCTGAGCTCAATGATTACGGATTTCTCACATAATCACCACTCGCGCGCCCAACATACAGCACTTGTTGTGTTTTTTGCAATCTCGTTTAATATGAGTTCGGATCAACGAGTGGAACCAAGACTAGGTTGAGAAATTAGCCATTAGCTTTTTGTCACAGTCGGTCCTCGTCAAAGTGAAAGTTTTTTCATAGAACATTCCTAACTTCGTGTTATCTGTTTCGTCCTGTTGCTTCTCACTCATCTCAGCTCCTCTTACACGTAGTATTGCAGAATGCTCAGGGGCATTGTTCCAGAAATGTTACGACTCACGTAGATGCCGTAATAAGCTGTCATCATTGATAGTAACTGCCCTTCTCAAAGATGCCACCCTGGCTCAAAATTCTCGTCCCCAATCCCAAATTTTTTACTCGAAAAATTAACTTTCCAGTTTCCTCAAGGAACTACAGTAACAGCTGTTGTTTATGTTAATCATAATCTTATGCCACACGAAGGTCTTTAGGTGGAACAGTTTATTCAGTCAAACGGCCTAAAGTTTCAAGGCAGTCGTCGTCTTAAGGGGCCAAGAATCCACCGCTCACGCGGCGACTGTCAATAGCGAACATTTGCTACTGACAGTCGTCTGGCGACAGCGGATTTTCTCCGCGTGAGCGGTGGAATGTTGACCTCTGAAGACAACGATTGCAACGAAACGATTGGCTGTTTGACTTAATAAACTGTTCCACGTAAAAACCTCGTACGGCACAAGATCATAATTAGCACAAACAACAGCTATGCCGAGGTTAAAGCAAGAGAAAAGTTAGAGACTTCAATCCTGTATTGTAGAATCAGTATTGGAGGAGGGAAGGGGGGGGGGGGGGGGGGGGGGNGTGTTGTATGTTGTATGAGACTATTGGTATTCATACCTCCTTACTAGACTTACTAGACTGACTCTTGCTAAATTTCCTCCATTACTCTGATCTTACCTTTTGCTCATATATTTGATAGTCCGTGTGGTTTGATGTATTTATATGATACACATATGGTGCGTACGTTGTTCGGTAGAACTCAATGGGCTAATAAACTTTGCTCCCGTGGGGACGACATTGATATGATTGTGAAAGAGTGTGAAGATTGTGCGCGGTATTGACATTTAATTCATTAAGGTTCGCCAAAAGTACATATGAAGAGGTTGATGTTTGCACCACTAAACAATGCGTACACAACCTTGTAGCTCACCTGAAATCGTAGCTATTTCTATTCACTGCCGATCATAATAAGCTGGTCCATTCGAGAAAGACTCGATTCGATCGATGTGAAAGGTACACATGCTTAAGAAAAGTTCTAGCGAACTGATCTCTTCAGGGACTATGTTTCACTGGTTCAGTTGACCGCTGCGCCCGTACTTAGTTTGTTTTTTGTAATCATTTGATCGCACACTGCTAGATTGGAAGACGGTAGACCTGGTCCTCGTCGAAGCTAAGTTGACTTCATGTCTCTATTATGAAAGCCAGCTTGAATAACTTTACTTGACTTTTAAGATGGCCATGCTTGACCTTGGCTACCTGGAAGGTAATTTTTAGCGTTTCATTGAAGTTCAAAGTGATGAATAAATTGTAGTTGGGTATGATTTCGTTGACGCACAGCCACTTGGAATGGTATATGCTGAAATCGAGAAACTTCTTTCGGAACATTCCTTGTGAAATCCCTATTAAAGAGGGTTATTGTTCACATCGATTTCACGCATTTTTCCAAAACAACTTTATAGATTGAAAATTCTCAGATACTCGTTTTTACTGGTATCGCTGATCGATAATTGACCGTAGTAGGTTTCGATCTAGACACACTTGATTGTTGAAGTGTAATGACGTGAAAGTTAGAGTCCAATTCGGTGTACACACTCGGTCGAGACGAGATAGGCATGGACCTATGCAAGTATCAGATGTCTTGCTTTGCCCTGGCGGTAACCGGGAGACACAGCCCTAGTCACTTTCTCCTCTGTTCCTCTCACTCAGTGTATCTTCACTAATCACCCATCATCGTTTCCGCCACTCGATCTTTCATCACCAATCACCTATCAATCGCTCGTTATTCTGGGCCGTTCGGTACCTACCACATATCATCTCTGGCAGAACCATGATTCATTTGCCTGGTAGTTGATAGTGTGGATGTTTTTGTTTTGTTTGAATCTCTGTGCTTGCTTTTTTCAGCTCATCTCGTGTATCTCACATAACAAGTGACTTCAGTTTGTTTTTTCAATTCACTGCTGGCAAGCATTAGCTTGATACATATCAAGGGGCCGACATTGGCGGAATAATTTGTTCTACTAACTCATCGGTGAATCCTCTACTCGAAGATATCGTCAAAGATCAATTGTTTGGTAACACACGGATTTCAAAAGACTGTAACACCAGTTCTAAGAAGTTCCGAAAGCACGACGAGCTTGGTTTTGAGACCATGCAGCAAGTAAGTAGGCCTAATCTGTAACAGTCTAGTTGTGGGCTCTGGGAATTTGGTGCAGCATTGCATTTGATTTAGTGCTCTATCTTACCTCAAAATCGAAAGAAAGTTGTGCATGACATATCGTGAACTAGCAGGGTGTGCGCGTGTGCGGAAAGTAGCTGCCGAAAATTTTGCATTCGTTTAGATTTTTCTGGGATTCTTTGTAAGCTTGTATGCCATTTTTTGTGAGCATCCGTTGGGTTTCTTTGCCAGGGCACTACCCATGCGTATACGCATGACATTTCTGGCTGCCACTTCCTTGTTCATTCAACCATATGTAGAGTGACCGAACTCTCTAGCCGCATATTAGACACATACTCCCGTATGAGTTCAAATCCGGTCACCCTCAGCAGAACCTACCAGAAACTGTGTCAGAGATTCGGCTTCGAAGTCTCTTATGAGTAGTCTTTGCGCGCTTGGTTTCCGGGAAATAAAAGATTCGAAGATGAGTCGCACTCTGGTCGATCTGCTGCCATAGAAAAGCCATAAAGGAGCTGAAGCGACTGGCGGCACAGCATCCATATGATGGAGTGCAATATTTTGCTAGTACCTTCAGCTGTTCTGAGAGCACAGTAGCCAATGGTATACGATCTTTCGGATTGGTGAAAAGCTTGATCAGTGGCTACAACATGAAGTGATCGACAGCAATCACCAGAAACGCTCGGGCATCTCCACTCAGTTGCTCTCTCAAGTTGCAACCCTCAGTCGCTAGATACAGTACTCACCATGAGAACTCGAAAAGTTTGCGTATTTTTCGTGTTTCATCCATAAGTGGGTTCAGAGTGGAGTGTTCCAGGAGCTGAAAATACCGTCGTCCTGACATATGAAAATGCTCCCTTCCAGATTGGGCCACGCACTTGGAAAGAAATTGCATGTACATAGGGTGCACGCGTCAGTGCTTGTAGAATGCGATTGGTCTATGAGGCTGAAGTGTACAGAAGTCACTCTAGATTGCGCCACGTATCGATAGGTTTTGTTCAATTACTATAGTTTATTTCTAATGTAAGGGCGGCAGCTGGGGCTGCATCTGCAGTCTCTGCACTTGACACTCCTCCTCACATGTCTCGTTGAGAATATGATGACAAATTCCAGCAAAATATATGAGTCGATTTTTTTTTTGACATTTTCTAATTTTTGGAGGGGTTTTTCGTAGAATTTTGGAGGGGCGGCATTGAAGGCACTTTGTTATTGTAAACAACTCTTTGTTCTTTGCAAGACTATCACGGTGTACCTATAGATAAAAGTTTCTCCTTTGGTATGGCCCCAAACTTCGCTCTTCGTCACGCCTCCAAATTATGAAATCACGTTTTTCCACTTTCCACTGACCTCTTTGCAACTAAAGTTTTCACTGTTAGATTTCCCGTGTGAAAAGCTATTTAATGGAGCTGACGGAGCTGTACACCTGCTGAGTCTCGGTGGTGCAGTCGGTGCGCAGTGGAGTGGTAAGAACGGACGCCCGGATCTGATGATGTGCTGACTTTGTTTTTGTCCAGAGGATTCTGGATACTCTTCCAGAACATGCCCATTTTGAACATCAGAGCTCGCATGACATCGCGGAGCCCGAGTGAAAAATCTCGGTCCGTTAAAAATTCTTACGATATTCAACTGCATTGGAAATAGTGTGCTTCAATGCTAACGCGTTACAACAAACAGAACAAGGCAACGCAACGGTGAAATACGCGCAAAGCCGTTCAGAGTGATGAATTCCAGGAGCTGAAGATGCCGTTGAACTCAGCTTGTCAAGTTCTACAAGGTCTCCTTGAGTTCTGAAAAAGCACGACTTTTGGATGCACCATGTATTCAAGTTCCATCTGCCAGTTGAATGTGCACGCGGCGCACACGATATCGTCTATGCAAACTGATAAGCCGCCGAGAAAATAGCGTTTAGACACCTCCTGGAGTGTACCACACACTCGCTTCATCAAATGCACTGTGGACTTGATTGGATGTATGTGAGGTTCCTCAAGGGAAAGTGCGAAGACCGTAAAAACAGAGATGAAATCGCTCCACCATCGAGGACTATCCTTGCCAAGGAGGGGTAGTCTATTCACCGTGGGACTCTGCACGGAGACCCAGATAAATCGATAGAGTTTCGAATGCTGTTTACGAAGGTGAAAACTAAAGGCTCTCTAAACCTTTTCCGACGTTTGTTTAAGTGAACGCTTATTTTTGCTTATACTCTTTCGTTGCCCTTATCCAAGGAAAGTGTTTCTGCACGTCGATTGTAAGACTCTGTTTTATTTTGAACTTCAAAGGCCATTCGACAGAAAGATAGTAGATATGTGTAAGATGCCTGCAAGAAACTCAGCATTGATGGCAAAACTTTAAAAAATGCGTGAAGCACACATGTTGTTCACAAACTGCACACCTTGTACAGCTGATTCTCTCTGACTAGACAGTCAGTGGTCTCAAGACCGGACGGGATGCAACAGCATAGATCAGAATTTTGACAAGACAGGGCATGGACAGGGAGAAAATGGAAGTTATCGATAAATCTTCATTTATCATAGCTTTTCCTCCTGCAAAATTGGTACTGATTGTACTTGCTGAATTCGGGACGTCTGAAGACAGCAGTGCGGCAACTCGCGAGGAAAGAAAGGTAGCCGCAATGTTTGTCGCTGCACTTCGCGAGGCGGTAGCCGCTGCGGTTGAAGTCGAAACCAATGAATGCTTCAAGTCAGATATTCCTCGGAATCTGACTGGGACCATGTGATGCAAATGGTCACGACAGTTCTGGCTAGACGAGCAAAATCGACATTGGCAATACAACAGTCACTTGCGATCAAGTATGTCCTGGATTTCTAATTTTTACCATTAGCATAGTATTCGGTATGTTTGATAATCAGGTAACGAATTCCTTCAAACACTACAGACCTACAGGCCTTTAAACGGCTTAATAGCTAGTTTCAAGGAAGGTCACAGCATTTGAAACAAAAAAGACGTACAGAAGCCGTGAGGAAATAGAGCTAAAAGCCCAAGATTTTGTTAGCGCTGTGAAAAAGGAAATGGAAGCAAAAGCACTGGCTTGTTTCTGTAATGGTGACCAGTCAGGATTTCTCAAAGAAACGGCAACGGCAAGATCATTAGCACCCATAGGAGTGGAAAAGGTGGGCGTGCCATGTTTATGGTCATATCATTTTCGAGAATAGTAAAAATTTAAAAGCACAGTTCACGATAATTTTGGGCAATCCAGATTATGACGAAAAATGAAGGATATGGTGAAAAAAGTGCGATAAAGGCGAAAAAAAAACTGTGAATTGCGTGAATAGGTGTTTTGAAAGTGAAAATAGCTTTGAAAAAACGGCAACAATGGAGCTGGATGAGAATGAGACCAGAAAAATGAAGAAGAATGGGGCGTTTGGATGAGCTATACAATGTGTGTCAGTGCGTAAGTGTGGGTCCGGGTACGATAGCTGACTACGGTAAGCAAAAATTCATTTACTCATAAGCATAAGTTAAAAAACTCCAGTAAAGCAGAAATAGCCCACCTTTTTCAGCCTCGTATGGTAGAAAACTAGATAAGGGATTGCAGCAGCAAAAAGAATAATATCGAATAAAGGAAAAGCAGAAAACATCGCCTCATCACTCGACGATCAGCTGATGGTGTGTGAGTCCTGACGCTAACACTTGCAATCTGTATCGCCTCGACTCTCGTCTGACGTGACATCGATCTAGGGGCGGGAACTCCGCGCGAGCAGGGAATCGGGCTCCCTTTGTGCCCTAGCCGTCGAGTTTTTGGGCACGAGAGGCTCCTTCCTATTACTCTTGAGATATTCCTAAGGGCAGAGCTCAGTAACCATTTTTATCGTGAACTGTGCCTTTAAAACATTCCCTTCAGGTCTCGAGGTATTCCTCAGGGCAGAGCTCAGTAACCATTTTTATCGTGAGCTGTGCCTTTAACATTCCCTTCAGGTTGAAAGAATCGTCGAGACCAAAATGGCTTTCACGTATTCCTATACCATCCTCCCCCGCTTTATGCTGACTGCAAATTGGGAAAAAGTTATATATTGTTCTTCAAAAAAAGGAGGGGCTTTCCCGCGTCAAGGCTACTTCAAGGCTCCGAATGTGGCCGTCAGAGCGGGCACAACACACATGACCAAAGAGCTCGTGATTGATTGGATTAAGAATTGCCTTCTCGAAAGCAGGGACGCTCACCAGGAACTGCAACTTAATGTATACCTTATTGCACCTCGTGGTACCGTCGCCATTAAACAAACTGTGCCTGAAGGTGTGCAACGCCCTTTTTATTGCATATTGCATATGTGAAGCGTGCGGTTTATTTTTTGACGAGCACTTAATTACATGATGTAAAATTGAAGTACACAATATTCCTGCTGGTGTTACGTCAATGACTCAGCCATTGGACGTCTTTTTATTCGGCCCTATAAAGAATGTAATGAAGAGGATCAGAGTTAGAGCAATGTCGAGCGCAGCGGATTCTTATACACAGGGATAACATGCTTAAGGTTCTATCACGAGTATGTCGAATGTTTTGTACACCACGTTTTTCAAATTTTTTAAAATGCTCTTGGTGCAAGACTGGGTATGTTGATGAGTACCTAGGTTCCTGTGTCACGCCGGCCGAGTATTTGTACGAGACGATTGACTGTCTCGTCACCGTGTGCAGAGAATCAGCATGTATAAGGTGTGCAGTTTGTGAACAGCATGTGTGCTTCACGCATTTTTTGAAGTTTTTCCATCAATGTTGAGTTCCTTGCAGGCATCTTACACATCTCTAGTATCTTTCTGTCGCATGTTCCTTGAAGTTCAAAATAAAACAAAGTCATACTATTGACGTGCAGACCACTTTCCTTGTATAGGGGCGACGAGAAAAAAAAAACAGAAACAGTGCGTTCACTTGAACAAATGTCGGAAAGGGTTTAGAGAGCGTTTCATGGAATGAAAAAACACACGCAAAAATGCCTATGATGGCGGGAGCAGACCCGCATCCCACCCCCATGAAGCGAGACACTACCGCTAGGCCACGTCGGCGCTTCATATCGAAGCGAGGGGTTCGCATACCCAATTTATACCACTGTCAAGCAAATTTCGAGCCCCCATAACTTTTTGAGGGGAACCATTTTGGAATTTGAATTTCCATCTTCGTAAACAGCATTCAAAACTCTATCGAGTTATCTGGGTCTCCATCCAAGTCCCACGGTAAGTAGACTACCCCTCCCTGGTTAGTGTAGTGATGTAATGACACACTAGTATAGTGTGTGACCCCAAATATCGCTGCACAGCACACCCTAATATTAGACGACCCATTTTCTCTTTTTTCTTTCCAACAACATGGTTGGTACATATATTTTTGTGCTCTCCAATGCAAACACTACTCAACTATGTATATACAAATCACTCCGCAGTAAAGACACAGTTTTGTTCTCACTTCCTCTATTTTGTCATCCAAGGCTTGCGTTATCATAGTTGGCGGTCATCTGTAATTCACGTAACGGCATCGGCAGGGCCAATAATTCCGTATAGAACAAACTGAGGGCCTAGGCGTTTTGCAAAGCTTCGTGGCAAGGTCGCGGTGCGCTCTCTCACATCGCAAAAAAGTTTTCAGGAAGTGTTGCAACTCAGATGGGAAACTTTGCTGCACACACCGTACACCTGGCTCCAAGCAACTACCAGATCTTCCGATAGTTTCAGCATCATCCGTGAAGAAAGCGTTACGATGACCATGACCACCTAAACAATGATGTCCTAGATTTCTTCGCCTCTGGGTCAATGGAGCATTACGCAAAATTAATCCGTCACTTTGTAAAACGTTGGCTAAAGGTACCTGACGTAGACGGAGATTGATTTGCTGAGATAATTTTGCACACCCTAGTACTTCCTCATGTTTTTTTGCCTTTTTGAGAACACACTTACCAGAGCATTAGAAAAAATTACAAAGAGCACTGTGACTCGATTTGAAACAGTTCCACGAAATCCGTTTTGGTAGACCGAAAACAACCATGTGAATCCCATGCTTTTCTCGAAGGAAAGTCGTGGTAATGACGACGTCGACGATGTCTTTGCTTCTCGTTCAGTCGACCGTAGGACGATGCTAATTGGCAGAGGCGCGCTTTTCATTTGCGCCTTCCACTCCAATTTCACAGTAACTTGTCACTTACGGCAAAGTGTGGTGGCCGCTTGAAGCTAAATGAATAACACTCAACCCACGTTTAGATGGCATCCCATTCTGTGCGTCTAATTGATCACATACACTCATATAACACATCCGTTTATAAAGTCTTATTTGCTTGATTCAGTTACCTTTTAAGTACGTCTGTTAGGATTAAGTACTCTGTCTAATTGGTACGACAGAGGCTATGATCGTGTTTCACGAGCCGGTTACGGTAAATAAGATGTGTCATGCAAGTCACACTGAGGTAGACGCCACATCGTTCTTACCGTATACCTGGGGACGTAATTGGGCTCGGACGGGCATTGGTTAGTCGCCGCTGACATCGCCTTCACTGCTGCTTTCTACACCATGCTAAGGAATAATGGCGCCGGAAATGGGTTAACTTACAAACACCATGTCGTCTTTTAATCGCACGCACTCGCACATGTCTGTGCTGATTCAGGTAGAAGTGGTTTCATTAGTGGCTAAAGTAAGAGCGGGATGTGAGAGATGAGGGTGACTGAGGGCAATAGTGAGCAGCGAAAGAAGCGAAGAAAGTGTGGCTTGGGTGCCCGGAGGGGAAGAATGGGGGTGGTGCCTGTTGTTGAGAAGGCACCATGTCGTCGCTTAATTTGAGAGAGCAGCGCTGCGGCGATCCCGACGGTAATGGGCGAAATGTCAGCGATAGCCTCCCATTATCGTCTAATAGGAATCGCTCCCACTTGCTTATATCGGAATCCTTAGTCGAGCGCATTGCACTTCTCTTTCATACATATGCTACGTAGCTATATTTCACACCATCATGCCTTTTCGTCAGAAAGTAATGTATCCAATTCATGAAGAAGTGCTCGTCGACGTCTTTTCCCTGACGAATGTCTTTCTGGCTTATTTTTCCTAAATAAATAATGTACAGCCGATTCCATTAAAGTCAAGCAGTGATATACGCACCTCTATAATTGTATTCTTCCTAACAGTAGGGACTTTGAGCAAACTTTAAACGCAGTCGAAGACGCATTTCGCTTGTGGAAACTTTGCTCACCTTACAAATCTGCAACAAAAAGTGCGTTTCGAAGTTCCCATGACTTTTGCTCTGTTGATGGTAAACGATGATGGCAGGCAGTACAAAGTGATAGGGTCTTCAGAAACCGAATCAGGAGTAGAGTAGAGGATGCGCTAGAAGACAAAGGTCCCCTGAGTGTGTACTCCTATCGAGAAGGGTGTGATAGCTTCTCTGTGTGAGGTTAGCATGAGATTAGATTACTCGTGTTAGTGGTCGCTAGCCCGGAGGGCGTTGACAAGTCAAAGAGTTGTATCCCCGTCGAAATTGGGTTTCAAGAGGAATCCGCTTAGCGGCAGCGGCTGCTGCCGACGGCGTCAGCCACCCAGCGGCAGAAACAGCGGCAACGGGGTTGTCAACCTTGTACGACTCCGTTGGAGGGGATTAATCACTTCTCTTTCTCATTATCTTTTCATGAGTCTTGTTCACTTGATGTCCACTATAATGCTCTCACTTCATCGCTGCAGCTGTCCTGTGATTGTCATAGCATTTACGACTACCCTTGTATATGGATTTTAGTTCCTTATAGTAGCTATCTGGGGCGAAGCGTACAGCCCCGTTATACCGCACTATCCAGAAAAAGTTCTTTCGATCATCATATAACCAGGTTTGGAATTGGTTCTGTAGTGACAATGAATTCGTAGCTTATAGCTCTGATGTTTGACGCTTGTACTGGTGGCGATGAGCAGCTCAAACACGTGAACTCGGTCCAGACGCGACTATCCGTGTGAGAGTGTATATATGGAGCTGGCTGTGTCTCTGGAATGCTCGTCAATAGATAGTTGGGTAAGTGGCGTAGTCAAGCCGGCCAGCCTGCGGCGCTCACACTGTGTGATTCAATAGAGGCCTGATGTTAATTGTAGCATCAGCTCTCTAAGCCTTGGTAACCGCTCTCTCTTCGGTGTGTGTCCCCTCCCTCGTCCTTCGTCAACCAAGTTTGTGGTCTTCATATCACACCACTTGTACACTCTTCTCCACTGTCTCATAGCCTGTCTCACTAAATCACTCTGTAGTCACTGATCCGGCTCCCTACTGCTATTCTGATTAAGACGTTCATCAATTAAGAGGATGTGGGGTTTTCCTAGATGTCAAATTCTTTGGATGATTCATTTAGCTTCCTACTTCAACTAGTCCTATTTCCAAACTTGCTCAACTTTCGACAAACTCCACACACTTTCTCCAAAATCCAGTGCGGTTAAGCAGTGATAGGATGTGAAAGCGTGTAGTGAGTTGCATCCTGTGAAGATATTTCACATATACGTATGAAAAAAAACTTACGAAACTGGATCAAACCGATATGGACATATCCGAATGGTTTCCGTGTTTTCCTTTCAAAAAGGCACATCTATTTCTTCTAGAGCAGGATCTGTAGAGCGAATATGAATAATACCATAGTCTAGAGGATGCCGAACTGTTACCATTGGATAAAATGTTGTGTAAGCAACATGGACGAGTTCCATATCGAGGCCGCCTTGCCTAGGGATATTCGTCAAAACCCTGTCAGTCCCATTTGATCAATCAGAGCATGAAATCCGAAACACCTGGTTGGTAATTTATTGGGAGGTATTGGTATCCGCTTCACTAATATTAACCGCTCAACGTCGCTGTGCATTTAGACACATAAGCCTAGATTGTAAAACTGTTCCCCTTCTACTGAACAGAATTGTGCTTCCTACAATCGCCAAATTTAAATCGCAAATGATAGTCCTTCCTGAATGAGCACTAGGCTGCAACTTGGAGAGCGCCTGGATTAAGAAACACCACAAGATAGCAAAATTCAGTATTTGAAGTGGAATCTTCAGAATTATTGACCCCTATTGTTTTTTAGGATGGTGTCATTGATATCCAGATTATTTTGAAGGTTGTGATGCATTTAGGAACGAACTCCACTTATGCTAACACATTCTGTGGATTAAAAAACGAAACATAGTTTGAAGCACCCGTCAAGACATCATTTTAAACAGGGGCTTGTATTGGGAAGTTCACCTGGAAGAAACAGCACCTGGAAAAATGATGTGAGGGTCAAGAAGGAGGTAACAGAAAAAGAAGCAATTAAACATTGGTAACCGCATATCAGGCATGAAAAATATGTTGTGCGTTTAAGCTGTGAGCTGGGGCGCAAGATCATTTAGAATCAACGATTTTACTCCATACTTCCAATTTTGTTTCCTACTTATGGCCTTTCTACCATTCACATAGAGCGAACTGGGGGACTTTTCCTTTTTATAATATCTTCTTGATTGATTCTTGTTTCGGTGCATGCTTCGTGCCTGACCTTACCAATATGTAGTTGCGAAAATCTATCACGTGGTTGTCCTTGTTTTCCTCCACTTTTTAAATAATTTTTTTACACTCTCCACCTATCTATTGATTCATACTATTGGAAATCTGATTCCCTCAAATTTGCTACATCGTCTTTTGAATGTTTTACTCTGCAAATCACAAGTACACAGTTTTTGCATCGAATGCCACCCTGGTCAACCATGTCCTCCACACCTACTAGGTTAGCGAATAGCATAGGTTATGTCGTTGAATCAATCAAAAATCGCGACAGACGCCCAAATATCCCTATGTGCAAGATGAATGTATGTATCCCGAAGTAGTTGATCAAGTTCGAACACGTTTTCTTCGAAAAGAATGAGCGTTTCTCCTCCAGGTAATAAGAGTCACTGGATGGTCTCAGTTGTTTTTGGACACTCATCTTTCATAAAAGTCACTCGCATCGAAAATGGGATTCGAAGCAAAAGTACAAAAGCGTTAGCAGAGCTGCAGCTATTTCGCATAGTGGGAAGCCTATGATTGGTACCATTGATCTATGACTCAAATGTAGTTAAATCCTTATAATCGACGTGAACGGCGTAGCTGACTCATTCGGAATTCTCTGAACTATAACTGTGTTATCCGTTTCTCTGCTCATCTAAGTAAATGTTGTGATTGAACGTTCGAACCAAAGGCGCTTTTCACCGAGCCAGTATTTGATCACTACATCTTATTACGGATCCAGGTTCCTTTTAGGCGGTCTCAAGTCTCAATCTTCATTTTTTAGCACTGGAATTTTACTATGCAAGAATTCTCTCGCGGCATCTCCTTCGTTCCGCATGTTCGCATTTCGCACTAACTGCCACTGTTCTTCGCTTGAAATGTCGTCGCGATTGTATAACTGCTTTTTTATTCATATAGCTTATATCGTGCGGATGTTATGCTAGCCGCTTTGCTTTGTTGCTGAAGTACACGCGTTCTCTTGCTGTGGCTTGTATGGTGTGCACTTGTTAGCTGCTGTTGAACCCGTATGACATGCCAACCACGTGCGGTTTCCCGAACTGCAAATTTCGATCGCGTTATCGTGGACAAGAGGACAACCGTCACTTTTATCGTATACCAAAACGACCACAAGTGCTACGCCAACGTTGGCTGCTCGCCATTGGACGAACCGAGGAAACTGTCGTCAGTCAGGTAGAGAACAACCAGACAACCCTCTTACTCATTTGGATTCAGCGAGTGCTTTGGTGATGCACTTGCTGCGAGTGCTGGCGAAGCTTACTGTGATCGTATAAACTTTTCAAGGTGTTCGCTTTGTCTGCCGCTGTATCGTAGAAAAAGGTTTTCTGTTTCGAAGTAGTCAATATAGTTAGGAAGTGTAGTGCTGCACGATATCCACTAGCCGCTTTGCCCACTGTGAGCGTTCTCAAGAATTTTTGTTCCCAAGTAGAATCGAGACATGTATTTCTCGTTTTAATACAAATGCCTTAATACCAGGATTTAGTCATTTGATTATGAACTGTTTGCACACTGACGTGTGCTTTTCACATTGGTAACCCACTTTCCTAAAGCCATTCAAACAGCTATTATCTAAATCGGACCGAATTCGATACAGCCTTTTATGAGCATCCGCTAATCCATTATGAATTCGTGTTTCTTACACCACTGAAAGGGGTATGGCGTAGTCAAAGTCACAGTTCACGATAATTTTGTGTAATCTAGATTATGATGAAAAATGGAAGACAAGATCGAAACTAGTGCACTGAAGGCTAAACTGCGTGAATTGGTCTTTCCAAAGTGAAATAGGCTCCGAAAAATTGGCAAAAGGGGAGCTGGACCAGAATGATGCCAGAAGAATGAAGAAGGGTGGGACCTTTGGACGGCTAGACAATGTGCCTCACTGCGTACGTGTGGGTCCTGGTGCGAATAACTGACTACGGTAAGCAAAAAGTTATTCACTCATAAGCATGAGTTAACAAAAAAAACTCTAGTAACAACAAAAAAATGGCCCACCTTCATCAGACTCTTAAAGTAGGAAATTATTAGGTTGATGCATAATTTTTGCGGATTTTTTCCAACAAATTTTATTTAACGAAACGACAAAAATACTGAACAAAAACATGTTGAATTATTACTCCGGAACTTATCCGCCACTTACGTCAAGCACTGCTTTCCATTGGCTAGATGTTCGGATTCCAAAAGCAAGGAAGTTTTGATCCTTGGGAGTGATCCATGCCTTGACTCGGCCATCAAGTCATCCAAATCGACGAAAGTTCTATTCCCTAGCCCTTTTTTCAGCGAACGGTTGACGAGATAATCCATAGAAGTTTCTGCTGATGAATATGACAGATACCATTTCTTAGTCGGTTTTGGCCGATTGTTCCATCACCGAAAAGTCACTAAAATCGCGGAATGACTCTGCTTCCTTCCTCGAAGTAGTAGAGCCTAAGTTCGCGAACATGCGGATTGTTCTCTAGGTATACTTTTGTAGAGAAAATAAAGTAGATCATATCTAGAAAAAACCCGAATTCAATATTTAATTCTCTCGAAAGAAAAAAAAAGCCGCGAAAAAATCCGCAATAATTACACATCGACCTAACAGGATAAGGGTGCAGTGGCAGAAAGAATAGCAGAGAGTAAAAGAATGAGAGGAAATTATCGCCTCATCACTCGGCGATCAGCTGATGGTGTGTGAGTCCTGACGCGAAAACTTGCAACCTGTATCGCCTCGACACTAGTCTGACGTGACATCGGTCGAGAGGCAGGAAGTCCGCGCGAGCGAACGCGAGGGGAACCGGGCTCCCTTTATGCCCTAACCGTCGAGTTTTTGGGCGCGAGAAGCTCCTTCCTGTTACTCTTGAGGTATTCCTAAGGGCAGAGCTCAGTAACCATTTTTATCGTGAACTGTGCCTTTAGCTGGAGTTGCTGCCAAGTCAATACTGCTCGACACTGCATACTCTAATAACATGTGTGTACATGAAAGAAATCATGAATGTCACACAAAAAAGCCCAAGAACATAATAATGGTGCTTTGTAAATGTCAAAAGATTCTACCGATTGTTTCAGCTACGAATCTGCTCCGCGCATTTTGAAGGTGGAGAGAAGAAGGAAGGAGATATACCGGTGCCAGATCCGACGGTCAGGGCTTAAATTTAAAGATTACTGTTAGGGTAAGATTCAACACGCACAAAGAAAATAATATCATTATTCAATTAATCTCACGTAATGGTAAACATTGAAACGCACAGGAGGAAGTGTCGGATACCTTTCTAGAGTAAAACAGCTCAACTGGTTTGCGTAGCAATATATGTGTACAAGGACTAGAATACAATATACTAGTTTTAGGTCGACAAGCAGCTGAATATCGAGCTGCCACCCAAAGAAAGCAAAGGCAGCGAACGGAAACGCAGTAAAGGTGATTGGTTTTGTTAGGAAGAAGATACAATTGAACCACAGGATCAGTCATTCCTTGTACAGGCAGCCCCACACTGTCGAGATCGCTTGTAGGTCGTAAACGTCAGCTGCAAGATTTTCTACGGAGTCCTCTAAGTGAGTCCAGTTATTCTGGCTTTACGATATGGAACCGCTTACCTTCATAAGTGTGTTCAAAATGAAACTCAATTTGTGATGAGATGCTGGTGCATTAGCTGTGAAAGGGATAATCTTATAGAACAAATCTTTGACCTCTTTGTTATATCTGATAATCTTATAGAACAAATCTTTGACCTCTTTGTTATATCTGAATTCTGAATTGCTATCTACTGCTTTCGAGTACTCTAAGAACCCAAATATGTTAACAAATAATTTGTCGAAGTAAGAACAGAAGGGATCAAGAATTCGAGGTCATTCGGGTCATTAGTTGGAGGGGTAAAGAAGATGGTGCTCGGAAAGCGCTAGGATGAGCACGTGTCCTGTCCGAGACTAGTTTTGCCCTTGTCTTCAGCAAATTTTATAAGGGCGGCTCGCCACCCTCATAAAATTTGCCGAAGACTTGCCGTGCTTGTTCTGATAGAAGAAGCTGAACGCTAAACCTGTATAACCGATCTCTCCTTCGATCATCGACTTCCTCAAGCAGGTGCCAGTAGCTTCTCCGTTCGTGGCTGTCCCAAGCGAGAGTGGTCCCGTGGATCTTCCTCGCGCGAAGAACAGGTAGCATAGCATTCTTTTCGTTCAGAATCTTTGTGAATAGTCTGGCAATCTTCCACTAGTGGCCGTTCTGACGGTCGCTTGACGTACCAAGGTCGAGTCACTAACCGTCCTGGTCCATAGATCATAACAATATCGCATAATGTGTCCAGCCCACCTGATCTTCGATTCCTTGGGATGAGCAACGGCGTCCCTGATCTTAGTTCGTTGACAAGGCTTGCAACTCCGAATTCCCTTTTGCACTAGCGCTTTAGGGAAGTTCCGAACATCGTCATTCCCGCTGCGTGTTGAATGATTTTGACTTTATGTTCATTCTGCTTTCGCATAGTCCAAGTCTACGAGGCGCTCGTCAAAGCGGGAAGGACCACAGGGTCGGAAAGGTAGGCGCGGAGCTACATGTTTTTTGTCTTCTTCTCTAATCTTCGACATTCTCAACAGGTCACAATAATTTTGGGTAATCCAGATTATGACGAAAAATGGAAGATAAGATGGAAAATAGAGCGATGAAGGCTAAACTGCGTAAATCGGTGTAGGCTTCGAAAAAAAGTCGAAAAGGGGCTGAACGAGAATGAGACTAGGGTCCTGGTGCGAATAACTGACTACGGAAAGCAAAAAGTTATTCACTCATAAGCATGAGTTAACAAAAAAACCTTAGTAACAGCAAAAATAGCCTACCTTTTTCAGGATTTTGAGGTAGAAATTTAGAGTAAGGGTGCAGCAGCTTGAAGAATATTAGAGAATAAAAGAATAGAAGAAAAACATTGCCTGGAAGAAAAAACACTTGACGATCAGCTTATTGTGTGTGGTTCCTAGAACGAATATTGCAAGGTAATGGAGCTTGCACTATGCCCAGCTAATGAGTTTTGGGACTCGGCAACCTCCTTCCTGTTACCCTTGGGGGCCTCTGGGTATTTCTAGGGGCAGAACTCGGAAACCATTTTTATCTTGGACTGTGCCTTCGAGCGTGAAGGAGACGTGAGCTGGGTTCAGACCGTCATGAGAGAGCTTAGTTCTTCCTACTCTTGACTAACTGTTGCGAAAGTAATCCTGCTTAGTACGAGAGTAACAGCAGGTTTCGACATTCGGTTTATAGACTTGATCAGGAACCATTCCGTCTCTCATGTCTCCGTTGAGTCTTAAGTAGATTATTCCACAAGAAGCTCCGGCTAGCATGCGTTCCTCCTGCTCGATGTTCGCTGTTATCAGCATGATGTCGTCTGCAAAGCGGAGATGATGCATGCAGCGGCCACAGACCTTCACTCCCAAAGCTTCCCATACCAAATGACGAATGATTTTTCTTGAGAGCGGTACTGAAAAGTTCGAGCGTGATTGTATCTCTCTGTTGAACCCTGCTCTTCACGTTGACAATAACTTCTTTCTAGAATGGCGAAATTCTGGTCGTGAAGATGTCGAAAAGCTCACAAAGCATCATTATATATTAAGTAGGAAAAACCTGGTTGACCAGAGCTTCAATACTTATTCGAAGCGATGAAAGCCAGATATAACGGTATGGTCTACTTTTGCAAAATTTAATTAGTATTGTAATAATGTGGATGTAATCGATTGTGTTGAACTCTTTTTGGAATTATGCTTGCTCCTGGCTGTCCTGCATCTAATGTTCTGCTAATCCTGTTGGGGTAAACCTGTGTGAAAAGTTTGTAGATTACAGACAACAAGAAGACTGGGCGATAGTTGCCAACATAGTTCGAATATTTGCTCGGCAGCACAGTCTTGCTAAAATTCCACAACTCGATCACTTTGCATTCCGACAGACGCTGGGTGAAGAGCCTGGCCAGAGATCTGACGATAATTGCTGAAGGATTCTTTAGACAGTCTCGGTACCAAAAACCGTACATTTCTTCAGCGACTTGATGGCATTTCGAGTTTCGGAAGGGAGAACTGAAGCAACGACGGATCCGTTTTGTCTAAGATGGTAGGTGGGCAAGTAGACGTGTCTGTAGAAGGGACCCGAGCAGAGGTCTTCTAAGTTGCTCTTCAGATGCACTAAGTGTTCCATGAGGAGAACCAACGAAAAACATCTTGGTAATAAATTGTGAAGCCCCAGCGTCTCTTTGCGAATGCTCTTAGCGGTCTCAGCGGCTTCGACCAGACTACTGATCTTCCCCCTCTCAATCATCCTTTATCACTTCTCTGCATAGCTTCGCAAGTTCGGACGTTTGTTGATGGTAGCCTTCAGCTCGCATGATTCCACCCTGTCTTATCAGTTTGAGACCAGAATAACTTAGCGCTCTTCTTCTGAATACGATTCCAAGCTTCTCTTATTTTCTCCACCTTTTCATGCAGACATTTCGATTTATTTTTGCCTGTGTAAGGCCCATAGAGCAGATTTCGATAGTTTCTTGAACTAGTTTGCTCACGGATTTACAAAATTCAAAGTCCGACATTAGCCAACGCATGGCTTAAAAAACGGCTCGATGATGGTTGGTCGTTCAAGTTTGAACAATCCTTTATTGCCTTTTCCCTTCTACTTTCCTTTAGCGTTGTGAGGTTTTTTGCCGATTTCTGAATTACTAACCTTCTAGTGATCTTCTTTGCAAAACAGTTTTCACTATTTCTAGTTTAGACGGAATTTGTTATGTCATATGCTCAGATGAGCTACATAATGTGCTATATAAGCGGGTTTGCTTTTTCAGGCAGCGCTGGCTTCAGCTGATGATATCCACGCTGTGAATACAGTGTATGCCTCATTCTCTAAACCTTAACAGATGATCAAGCGAATGAGAGCTCGAGGGAGCTCCTCTATTTATTGAAAACTTCGCTTTTGGTATTGACATTTGTTCTAATAGATTGGCAACAAGGTTCTTCTTCGAAAAAAGTCATGCTGGGTTCCCTGACTAATTCTCCAAATTAATCAAATGTCAGAAATATTTTCACAAAAGAGATCAACAGCCTTACCTTTTTCGTTGAGTAAATCACATTCGTCTAGGAAGCTGTGATTCAGGTGGACGGGCCCTTCGTGCCCCACAAAACTGTGAGACGATGTGTGCGTTACTTCAAAGGCTAGTATGTATATCCTGCAGTGCAGTGGATCAACATACAGTTGAGCGGTGATCGGTGAACAGTGCTCTCACTGAATAGATCGCTGATGATTCCAGCCGCTACACTTGCGTTTTCCCTCGGTTGCCTAGTAGAAAGTGAAGATATGAATTTGGTGTTGTCCAATAATTGATGGTCAAGTTGCAAAAGGTCATGAGCCTGCTCTTGTTTACTCGTGTTTTCATTGCCCCTTGGAATGTCTTGAAACTTATCACCTTTGCTATCTTTTTCACCACGTGTATTCACATTTCTTAACGCTTCAAATTTTTTGCCGCAGGACTTTCTTGCCAACCTAATACACTTGGCATTTTATAACTTATCGTTTTCGATCAATAAAATTACCATCAGTGGAGCTAAAATCGTGACACAATTTAATTCACTTCAAAAGTTGATTCATTTTGGAAATTGCTGTTATAAACTTGATGCTGGGTTTGAATCCTACACTTTTGGAACTGGTGAACTTTCTTTGTCCTTCATAAACTTCCAGAATTTCCTCGTCCTTTCCAAGGTGGTTCAGTTTATTTTTGCATTTGCAACAAACAGACCTATCAAACTATTCATCCAGTATATGAACGTCTTGAATATGCTCTTGAAGGTTATCGCTTCAGACAACTCAACCTTATGTCATCGTTTTTGTAGTTTCCATTGAATAGAATCAATTCATTGGTTCAGTCATAAGCGTGCCCGAAGCAACGAACAGCATCACCATTTCACGTGAATGGATTCAAAGAAAGGAATCGAAATGATGTGAGTGGGGCGATGCCAACAGTTCGGACGTACACTGAGAAGGCCAGGGGATCACCGAGTAAGAAGAACCCCGCGTATGTAACATGTAGCTCCAGAACGAGGTCGAGCTATAAACAACATCAGGAAAGGTGAGCTTTCATGGATGGGCTAGATGTCGATCGGCGAGCTCCTTCGCAACCACATCGCTGTTTGGGCGCATGGGCTTCAACTCCTCACCTTGTAACATTTTACCCCAGTATTCCTGTTAAACTATCCTTCTCTGGCAAAAGGTTGAGCAATGGAAAGATCCCTTACGATCTTCGTCCCATTTATCAGGTACGTGATTGTACTTACACGGCTCGTCGGCACGTCGGCGTCGGAATTTTTTTCAAGAAGATGCAACCGACTAGAAACTTGACTAAAGGGGTGATTTGTCCCGTAGAACATGAATATCGCATCCATTCGTCATGCAAATGCCTAGCGCCCCGCTACGCTTTTTCTGCGCGACACTCCCGTGAGACGTCGCTAGAGTGCGCGCCAAAACCGATGGCGCGTTTTGGCGCTTAAGTCAAATGATGTGCTGCCAGATTCATGAATTTTTAATTTGCATCAAACATGGCTCTCAACGCTCTGACTCGCCATAATCGCGTGATGGAGTTAAAGGATTTCAAGCGGTTGGGCTTGTTTGAAAAGCTGAAACTAAAAGCGGACGAATTTCGAGCGTGGTTACAGAGCCAAGGACTACAAGCAGTTCCAGTGTGCCCAGTATGCTTTGGATCCATGAACATTCGACCTTAAGACGATGTACGGATCTGCCATAAACGCGCTTGTGGGACGATGAAGGAACGAAGCCATCCTTGTGTGTTCGGCACGGAAACTTTTTTGCAAACTCCAGTTTTCCGGAGTCTGCCATCTTTGCAACTGCCTACTCTTGGCTCCGTGAATTTGGAGCCTTCCGAACCAGGCCATTCGAGCTCGGCGTGAGTGCGAAAATGCTAACTCATGGGAGCGTCGTTTGAGGAGCATCTGTTCTCGGTTCTATAGAAGGCATCCTCCAATTCTTGACGGACCAGGAGCAATTGTGGAAGTTGGCAAAACGAATGTCACGCGAAGGAAGTACAATCGTGGCAGAATTGTGCGGAGAAAGTAGTGGCTGTCCGGAGATATCGAGAGAGGTAGTGGCCGGGCATTCATGGTTTTGGTGAGGCGCCGTGATGCTGCTACCCTGACAAATATTATTCTCAAATTCATCCGACCAAGAACAACAATAATATCCTATTCATGGAGAGCATATTCACAGCTGTCAAGATTGCCTGCAGGATATCGAACCACCGTAAATGATATGGTTGATTTTGTCGATCTTCGAACTGGCGCCCACACCCAGAACATCTAATTGTTGTGGCAGAAGTTCAAGATGGTGCCCAAGAAGAAGCATGGTTTGAATACGAAGAGATACACCGATTTCATCAGGGAATTCCTGTGGCGTTGCGAGTTTGAAGTGCCTGAAGAGATCATCTTCAACTTCTTCGAGCATATTGCGGAAATTTATCCGTATTGAACGTCATCCATCAAGTTCCAAGACCAACATAACTAACTCAACGACCCTCTTCAGGGCCCATAATACGAATACCATGAATGTGAATGGATATCATGCAAAGCAAATATGATATCCATGTTCTAACACACCACTTAGGGGCAATTTTTCGGCAAGATTGGCGATCCAACTCCATTTGGCTCCGGCGCCTGTGGCCTAGGTATCTTTATGAGAGTAGATGTCATATTCGTGTTCTGCGGGTCAAATTACCCCTCCAGGTAAGTTTCTAGTTGGTTACATGTTCTCAAAAAAATTCTATAGAAATCCAGCCCATTCTCAACAAAAAGGGGCAGTAAAGGATGAATAGTGCCGGCTCGTCTTCATTTTTGAGCGAGCACCTCCAGGAAAACATTCGTTTCTATCTTTCGCGAGCGCAATCCACGGTTGACCCAGAATCCGACTAAGATGACGATGTGAGGAGCCGTCCAGCTGCATTAGCAGCGGCTTTGATTTGCAGCATGTCTTCCTTCAGGCCATAAAAACCCTGCACGGGCCCCGTTAACTGATCTTCTTGTCCACCTCTCATAATCTCTTCTCATCATGTACGTATGATGAACCATCGAGATTTGGCGTTTCTCAAATGTATTCTTCCGGATCGCGAAGGCGAGACATTCTGCTCATATCGGAGCAGCACAGTCCATCTCGATATTGAGTGAGCTGGTCGAAACTCAGAAGGCATTGCTCGAGTGCTCTGTGACTTATGCTCAAAGACCTTGACGTGGAAACTTGTCTCCGACGCGTAACAGAGCGCAGGGAGATGTGGAATCGAACGAATTAGCACGATTTCCGGATCACCCAGATGGTTGGTGACTTCTTCAAGAGGTCCGAAGGCCGCTCACGCTGTTTTTTACTGTTTTTCAGTTCGAGGTATCAGGGTAGGGTGTGGGGGAGGGAATGTTAACCAAGGTCTCCTTGATAGTTGTACCATCGATCCTAATTTGACCAACGCTAGCCCAAGCTCATTACTAGTGTCTTTATTTGGTTGATTTACAGATTTATCTTCTTTCCTGCTTCGCTGAGCACTGCAAGCATAGTCTCAGCTTCCGCAAAGCTTCCTGAGATGACCTGAGATGAGCAATGTCCTCCGGAGACCAGAGATTTGAGAGAGACATCCGTCTATCCGAATGCCCTTTTCATCTCAGTCTAGCGAATTCTAGCCACTGTGAATAGCCTTGGTGAAATAGTGTCGCCTTGTCTCACACTATACTTAAAGGCACTGTTCCGAAAAAATGGTTTCGGAGATTTGCACATGGTTTGAATTCGAAGCCCCCTCTGATACCATTTATGCAGGAATGAGGTCGGTAAACGGCTGGATAGGGCACGATAAGGGCAGGAACAGTGGGGGACGGGAGGCCTTCGCCCCTCGCTAGGCTGACTACGAGTTCAAATTGTCCTTCACCACATTCGCACTGGAGCGAAGTTGGTGAAACATCGATACGCTGATTGGCAAATTGCCAGAGTCTGCCAGTCAGATTGTCAGGCGAATTGGATGTGTTGTCTGTATTGCAGACATTGCGTCGCCTTTGTGCATTCTCGCCCGAACACTCCCTAACCGCCGTTATTTCAATGTGAAACTCGCCCAATCCCCTTTCCAGCTCTTTTTTTGACACTTTGTAATTCTTTTTGTCCATCTTTTTTTGCGCTTTTTTCGTTGTAATCGCTTTATTCTAGAGTAGCTCTATCAATCCCCGTCAAAAAAGGGCACCCTAACTTTTTTGTGAACAGTGCCTTTAATGGGAATGGCGTAAGGTCGTCGCAATAGCCGCACCGTCGCATTGCAGCGACTTCTACAGCCAGCTACCGCTGACAGGACGGCATTCGTTTCGACACTGTCAAAAGCTTTTTCATAGACGTTGAAAGTGAGGGCAAGGGACTTTCGGAACTTCGGCTCACTTGATGGCCATTGCTACTTGGATGTGATCTAAGCAGCTGGTCTAAGCAGCTGGATCCCTTCCGGAACCCTGTCTATTCAGCAGGTTGAGCTTCATTCAACATTAACAATATACGTGTCAAAATTATCTTCGTTAGCGCGTGTAAAGGACACTCAACATGCCCATTGGCGGTAGTTGCAAAAATCATCCCGGTCTACTTTCTTGTAAGAATGATCAATAGTTGCTCCACTATTTGGGGACCCAGTCCTGCAGAAGCTAAGAGGTCGTGTATGTTGCAAGAAGCGCATGAAGTTTGTTACCACCTGCACGGAGTAGGTCAGCTGAGATCTTGTAGGGGGCTGGAGCAGTGCCACTCTTCATGCGCACAATCGCAAATCTCACCTATGACGGAGGGATTGGAGATGCTGTCCCTCCTGTTGGGATTTTTGGAATTCGCCGTTGTGTCGTGAATCGGTTCAGGCTAGTATGAATTTTGAGCAACTTCCTCCATCTGAAATCTTACTGCTGGAAGAGTTCCGCCTTCCTTTCCGAAAATCCTGAAGATCCTGAAAATCCCGTCCGCATTTCTTCAGACTAGTTCTGTTCAGAGCTGCCTGCAGCAGTCACCTCTCCCTGTATTGCTTAAAGTCTCGTCGCTTCGCCTGCCTACAATTGATATTTGCTCGCAGCCCTCCGAGATAAGTGGTGTTCAGGTCAAGCCTTCAGTTTTGTTTTGTACTGAGTAGATCGTCCCACTCTAGCGACTTCATAACTCGCTGCAGCGCGGCTGTGAACAGCTTCGGCAAAATAGTGTCACCTTATCTCACATCCTTCCCAATGGGAATGGGGAAAGGTCGTTGAAACAGTTTCATCTCTGCGCTGCAGCGACTATTGCAGTAAGTTAGTGTTCTTATGTAGGGACGGTCCACTCCGTGGTCGACCAGTGCTGACAGAAACCGTTTGTTTCGACGCTGTCAAAAGCTTTTTCATAGTCAACAAAGGTAAGGACAAGGGCACTCGGAATCCTCAGCACACTTCGATGATCATTGCGACCACTTGGATGTTTTCTAAGCAGCTAAACCCCTTCCGGAATCTTGCCTGCTCTTCACGTTGAGCTTCATCGCTATATGCTGGTTAGAATGACCTTCGTGAACAGCTTGTAGAGCACATTTAACAAGCTTATTGGGCGGTAGTTGCGGAGACCATCCAGGTCTCCCTTCCTGTGATGAACGACCATCCACGAGCTCCTCCTCTGCTTAGGGATCTTCTGTTTATGGAGGTAGGATGTCATGTGTGTTGCGAGAAGCGCATGAAGTTCGTAGCCACCTCCACGGAGTGAGTCGTCCGGGATCTCGACGGGGCCCGAAGAGTGCCCCACTTCATGCTCGCAATCACAACTATCACCTCCGAAGAGGAATCCGAGGTGCTGTTCCGCCAGTGTGGTTTTTCGGTTTCCGCACGTGTGTCATGGATAGGTACAGGTTGGTGTAAAACCACCGTGCAGCTTCCTCCACCTCAAATCTCGATGTCGTAAGTGTTACGTCCTCCTCCTTCAAACACGGAAGTGGAATACTGTGGTCCTGAAGATCTCGATGGCATTTTTTCAAACCAGTTCTGTTCGAGGCTGCATTCAGTAGTCTCCTCTCCCTGTATAGCTGAAGGTCTCGCCGCACTGCTTGTCTACAGCTGATGTTCGCTTGCAGCCTTCCAAGATGTGTGGCTTTCTGGTCAAGCTGCAAGTTTCTTCTTGTCCTGTAAATCCATCACAGCATCTGAAATGCGAATGGAGGCATCCATTCGAGAAAGCTTGCCTGTTAAGCCCAGATGAGGAGGCCTCGAATCAGAGTGTCATAAGCTTCAGTCAGGTCATCCTTCACATGTCAGCCAAATCATCGCTCAGATCGTCTCCGTCGTATGCAGCTTGCTTCGAGCTCTTTGCGTGATGTTGAGAAGCTTCTCTTCTCTTCACTTCTCCAGCTTGTGACTGAATCTGATCTTAGCGCGAAGAAGTCGGTAATCAGATCGACTGCAAAACTATGTTACTACACCAACTTCAAGTAAGCAGCACTTCCTGTTGGTTGATTTGTGGCCAAGTTAAGCATGGGTTGTACCATATGGTGGTTCCCATGTAAGGCGGCAACGTTCCCTTTTCTAAAAAAAGAATTTATTATGGTCGATCGTGGAGTTGTCGATCCGCTGTTAGAAGTCCTGTCAAAGGACTTCGTTCTCGTTCCTGTCCCCAGTCCTGCCTTTCTAATCCTGGACTTCTCATCTGATGCTTCCCCAACCCTTGCACTGAAATCTTTGACAAAGAACTCATAGAAGGGTCACTCATTGTGGATGATCTTCTCTAGTTTTCGTAAAGCGCATTGAGCTCCACTTCGTCAGCTGTGGAGTGTGGAGCGGAACAGTTGACGATAGTGATGGTCTTCAGATGCGCATGTCGTAGGCGTAGAATGGCAGAGCGAGGAGACACGATCTCGTGAGAGTCAATGATATAGACGATAGACGAGTGCACGACAAAGCCAACACCGCTAAGGTTTTGCGATGAACGTGTTCCACCATGAATGATGAGGCTCCTTCATTCCCTTATCGTACGTCAGTCATCTTACTCTTGGTTTATTGCAGTGCAAGCACATGATACTCGATCTGAGTAGTCGCCTCAAGGAGTAAATAGAGAGCGACACTGACGGAAACTATTCTTGCATTGTAGGTGTGAGGTAAGAAACAGTCTGCGTATGGTGTCGTAGGGATGTTGTAGAAGTCCAAAATTCAAGGCATCCTGCGCAACCCAAGATTTGTTCGCCATTCACACGGATCCATAACGTCGGGTACCGGGGACGTGTGGGGTCAGTGTGCGGGGTATTGAGGCTGTTTTATTACTGCTTTACAAGATCGCTCCCTGAGTTTTAAACAATGTCTTGTCTGGGTTAGTGCTCAGACTTTACCATCGTGCTTATGGCTACTCTGGATCAGAGGAAGCTGAAGTGACCAACTCTTTCCCATGTGTGCATACGAAGTGCCGTTGAAGTATAGTTATATTTATTTACATTTTAGGTAAAAAGAACC